CCACTGGCTCCAGCCACAGCTACTCAGGGCCCTGCAACCCTGGCTAGGTTCTGCCACTCACCCGTCCCCCAACTCCCCTAACTCTTCTCAGGCCTGGCGGGGCCCTTCTGGAGTTGGTGGGCTCTCTGCGGTTGTAAGGGCCAGGCTCAACCAGGCCCTGTGCTGCATAAAGTTGATGTGCCCCACATTCACGCACACACACGTGCACACACTCGTTCTCACCGTGCCCCTTCCTGCTGGGGCACGCGCTGTCCTTGGACTCCTGGGCTGAGTGGTGGCCGGGCTACAGCAGCCCTGCATTGTGCTTTCTCCCTCTCGCTTTTGGCCTTCCCAGCAGAAGGGGCTGCCCAGCTTGGCAAACATGACTACAGCAGGCTACTAACCCAAGAGTGGGGGGTGCATGTTGACCTCGGGGCACAGGAAGCATTCCTCTGGTCCCTTCACACCCACCCGCACACTCCCCCCCTCCTCCCCTGCCTCAGCAGCAGAGGCATCAGTTCCTGGCTGGGCCAGGCAGCCCACTGAGGCCAAAGCTCCATCTGGCAGAAGGCCTATGTACAGAGGGTAGGCAGGGCTGTCTCCGCAGGCAGGCGGGCAGGCTCCGCTCCAGGCTGGGTGACCCCGAAGGGCACGGGGCGGCCCCTACTCACAGGCCAGCTTGCTGTCGAAGCTGGACAGGGCAATGGCGAAAGCCTGCAGTGCACACAGTGGGTAGTTGTAGTCCATGGTGAACACGTCCTCTGCCACCCGGCCGAACTGCATCACGATGTAGTCCGCTGGGGCCGTGTGAGCACAGAGAAAGAAGCAGGACAGACGGGGTGGTGGGGACAGGTGAGGGGACAGACAGCCCAGCCACAGGGAAGTAAAGGAGAAGCAGAGATGCCATGGGAACCCCCGGGGAGGTAAAACAGGCCAGTGGGAGAAGGGACAGGAGAGAGGGTAGCAGATGCAAAGGAGAGAACAAGAGACAAACACCAGGAGACACGGAGGAGAGAAAGCCCAGTTACAGGGTGTTCTCATGCCTAGGGCTGTACAGAACACCTAGAGACACGGGTCCGAAGATGACCCAGGGCCTCCCAGTCACCACAGGTGGGAAGTCCTTCACTTGAATCCACCCCACCCTCAAGCTCGGGCTTGTGTGGACATGGCGAGATGAGCTCCACCCTGCATGAAGGGCCCTAGGGAGCACGAGGACGGTGATGCAGAAACACTCACGGTCATTGCCATGGATGATCTGGAAGTTCTTCACGGAGGCCTGCGTGACGCGCCCATGGAAGTTGAGGACGTAGGACTGCGTGTCGTCATTCCAGACCGGTGTCTTGTTCTGCAGCTCGATGATGCTCTCCGTGTTCTTGTTCTGCCAGCGTGCTAGCAGCGCCTCGTGCTCCTGGGAGGGCAGCCTCGCCTGAGCCATGCCCAGGCCTTGGCAGCATGACCACCCCAAAGAGGGATCTGCCCCAGGACTGGGGGTCTCGAGCGTCTCACACTGTACCCCTACACCCCAGCTGGACTTCTCATGCACAGATCAGGGTAGTGGGGAAGCGAGCAGGGTCAGGTACAGACTCACGTTGCGGGGACGGATAGAGACTCTCTCGTGGACCATGTTCATGCCTGGGACAATCACGCTCATCTTCCGAGGCCCCTTGAAGCCTAAGACGTTTGTCTCCTGGAACAGAGAGAAAGTGCACTCAATACTGGCCCAAGGAGCCTCCTTATCTATGGAGAGGCTGGGGAAGGGAACAGAGGAAGGGCTGGTTGGTCTCCACTGGCGAGCCTAGCAGGTGTCTCTGTACTCAGCATGTCAGAATTGAGCTCCTGACTCCTCTGGGAGGCAGGCTCCTCTTATGGCCTTCCTTGCTTCAATCAACGGGCAACTCAGTCCTCAAATGGTTCTCCCCCTCCTTTCACAGCCCCCCCCCGAACTTCCTGTGAGTTCTAGCTTCCGGGTATAGCCAAAACCCCACCACTTCTCCCTACCTTCTCCCCCAGGATCATTGTGGTGGCCTTTAACTGGGCTCCTTGTTTCTGTCCTTGGCTGCAGCCCTGCCCTGCTCCCTGTCATATCCTCAACCCAGCAGCAAGGGGTCCTGTGAAGTCGGATCATTTTCTTCCTCTGCTCAGAGTCCTTCGGTGCTCCCCGCCCCACCCAACTCAGAGCAGCGGCTAAAGACGATACTCCCCTGCAGGGCCTGGCACGAGACCCCATTAGCTCTCCTGGCCATTTGCTCTCCCCGGATTCACTCTGCCCTCCCTCCTTTCCTCCTCTATGCCAGGCACTCTGGTCTCTGGCCTTCACTCTGCCCTCCGGGCAGCACCCAGGTAGCTTTCACTTCTGTCCGTTCTCTACTCGAGCTATCCGGGGCCATCCTCCCTAAATTCTCACGTACTGAACGTATCCCCCTCCCCTATGTTTCTTTCCTCCCAGCATGTATCAGGAATGTATTTATTTCACTTATATTAATATTTGTTTTATGATGGTCTCCTCTACTAGGGTTAAGCCCCGTAAAAGTATCATTTTAAGTCTGCTCGCCACTGTATCTTTCCTGCCTGGCACATAGTCAGGACTCGGTGTCAGTTGAAGACTCAGATTGCTGCTCCAAAACTGACCGGCAGGTGGCATCACCGGATCATACAAAATAGTTTTGGTTTCCCAACAGCCTCCAGGAGGATGAAGCAGCCTTCATCTTTTTTCTTTTTCTTTTTCTTTTTTTCCCCCTAAAGTCAGGGGAGAGCGGGAACGCAGTCCCTCACTACCACAAATTATGCAGTCAAGTTCCCCACATTTGAGGAAATTGCCGGGGTCAGCATATCCGGAGTGCAATGGATAAGCCTCGGCCGGGGAAAACCGCCTTCGTGATCGTGGTGTCTCCCCTGCCAGGTAAATACAGGCACCCTCCATCTTTAAAATGAAGAAACGGGGCTGGAAGGTGGCACAGGGGTAACACGACATTCTGAGAGGCTGACACACATGGGAAGGTTCCAGGTCCACATCGACACCCCCTGAACCCATCAGACAGGCGTGGGCCCATCTTGTAGGGTGACCTGGGGCTAGGGATGGATGCCGCATGGAAGACCCTTGGGGGCGGAGGGGCTCTGTCTCCTCTCTCTCAATCTCTGTCGGAAGAAATACACTATTTTTAAAAAGAAGAAATTGAGGTTCGGAGAGGTAGAGAAATGCCCTGAATGTATATTCCAGTTTGGTCTTTTACTTAAATTGAACTTTATTTATTTCTTTATTTTAATTTGATCAGAGAGGGATAGAGAGAGAAGGTGAGAAAGCAAGTCTCCAGCTCAGGGACTGAAACCGCGGTCGGCCATAGGGGAGTCTAGGGCCCTTAGCCTCCACACCACCTGTCAGCCCCATCCAGTTTGGCCTTTTTTTTGGAGAGGTTTTTTTTTTGCTATAGGGTGCATGCGCTCACCAGACAGACAGAGAGAGACATAGAGACAGAGGGCAAGAAATCAACCCCCGGAGGGGATGGTCACGCCGCAATCCCTTCTCCTCCATTCTCCTCTCGGGATCTTGGGCACGCACGCACACGTGCCCGGCATGAGTTTTAAGCCACCGGATCCGGGAAGCGAACCGTGGTCGACTACGTGGGAGTCCAGTGACATAGCCATTACTCTAACTGCTGGTTCCCCAGTTTGGCCTTTTATGAACCGTGTGATGGCCCCAAGTGACCCAATCTCTGAGCTTCAGTTTCTCACCAGTTTAATAATTAATAAGTAAATAAATAAAAATGTTTTAAAAGGCATCTAACTCTTAGGTTGAACATGAGAGGACTATGCAAAGGGCCTTTTAATTCATGGCATACCAGAGAGATGATTTGGGGCATACAAAATAGTTTTGGTTTCCCAACAGCCTCCAGGAGGATGAAGCAGCCTTCATCTTTTTTCTTTTTCTTTTTCTTTTTTTCCCCCTAAAGTCAGGGGAGAGCGGGAACGCAGTCCCTCACTACCACAAATTATGCAGTCAAGTTCCCCACATTTGAGGAAATTGCCGGGGTCAGCATATCCGGAGTGCAATGGATAAGCCTCGGCCGGGGAAAACCGCCTTCGTGATCGTGGTGTCTCCCCTGCCAGGTAAATACAGGCACCCTCCATCTTTAAAATGAAGAAACGGGGCTGGAAGGTGGCACAGGGGTAACACGACATTCTGAGAGGCTGACACACATGGGAAGGTTCCAGGTCCACATCGACACCCCCTGAACCCATCAGACAGGCGTGGGCCCATCTTGTAGGGTGACCTGGGGCTAGGGATGGATGCCGCATGGAAGACCCTTGGGGGCGGAGGGGCTCTGTCTCCTCTCTCTCAATCTCTGTCGGAAGAAATACACTATTTTTAAAAAGAAGAAATTGAGGTTCGGAGAGGTAGAGAAATGCCCTGAATGTATATTCCAGTTTGGTCTTTTACTTAAATTGAACTTTATTTATTTCTTTATTTTAATTTGATCAGAGAGGGATAGAGAGAGAAGGTGAGAAAGCAAGTCTCCAGCTCAGGGACTGAAACCGCGGTCGGCCATAGGGGAGTCTAGGGCCCTTAGCCTCCACACCACCTGTCAGCCCCATCCAGTTTGGCCTTTTTTTTGGAGAGGTTTTTTTTTTGCTATAGGGTGCATGCGCTCACCAGACAGACAGAGAGAGACATAGAGACAGAGGGCAAGAAATCAACCCCCGGAGGGGATGGTCACGCCGCAATCCCTTCTCCTCCATTCTCCTCTCGGGATCTTGGGCACGCACGCACACGTGCCCGGCATGAGTTTTAAGCCACCGGATCCGGGAAGCGAACCGTGGTCGACTACGTGGGAGTCCAGTGACATAGCCATTACTCTAACTGCTGGTTCCCCAGTTTGGCCTTTTATGAACCGTGTGATGGCCCCAAGTGACCCAATCTCTGAGCTTCAGTTTCTCACCAGTTTAATAATTAATAAGTAAATAAATAAAAATGTTTTAAAAGGCATCTAACTCTTAGGTTGAACATGAGAGGACTATGCAAAGGGCCTTTTAATTCATGGCATACCAGAGAGATGATTTGGGGGACACACATACAAAAACGCAGACCTTCTGTCTCCTCCAGTCCAGGAGACCCCCAGGCTGGGCTGCAGAGCCAGGCCTGGTTTCCAGAGCACCCAGGCATGGCCAGCTGTTCCCAGAGCCCCAAAGACAGGAAAGGGGGGTGAAGGTCCCTATCCCAAGAAGGGATCCCTCCACAGAGGGCAGCTCTTCCTCTGCAGCCTTGTGCACCAACTAAGATGGATGGGATGGCCCCCGGTCAGGCAGCAAGCCCTGGCTTTCAGTTTAACTTGCAGACCAAATGCCCAGGAGCCTAGGACTCACGTAGCACACAGCTGCCAGCTCCTGGCGCAAGGTCCCACTCTCCAAGGTAGAGGACGATGCCTTCTGAGGGTTGACTCCATTGTCATAGACGGTGAACTTGGTGCCCATCAAGTTGGACCTAAGGAAAGGCACCCTCAGTGTAGGCCATGCACTCTCAGCTCGGGGGCAGGGACACAGCTAAGAGGCTGTTCTGGGAGGAGCCTGCAAAGCATTCTGGGTCGAGTCAGCAGCAGGCCCAGGGCACTGTCACTGACTCCATGGTTTTGAAGGTGCTGCTTGGCAGGAGGCCTGGATGTGCTGAGCTGACATCTCAGTTCAGAGAGAGAAACGCTGAACTCTGAAACAGGTTCTCCCCTGACGGGAGGTGAACAAGCAAAACGGCACCTGGAAAGGCTGTCAAGGGCACCCAGCATGCCATGGAGAGGGTAAGACCATCTCTCCCCTCCTGTCCAGCCTGAGTCTCGGCCCAGCCCCATCTCCAGCTTTAGTTTCTTACTCTAAGCTCACACTCCCCAAATCTGGTACTCTGTTCCTCAGTGAATTCCACCTCTCCCTTGGGGCTGGCACAGACCCTTCCCAACCCTGCCCCAGGATTGCCACAACTCTTCCCCCGAGTGCTCACACTTGACCCTGCCACGTGGCCCTGACCTGGGGCTCGGGCAGCTCTTCCATGGGGCGTTCGTCATCGTCAAAAGCTTCTGGGGGCTGACTGACACTCCTGCTGGGGCTGCCCCCACCTGCTGGGAGCAGAGCATGAGGCCCATCTCTACAGCCCAGCTCCTGGCTGGCTCAGACCTGGGCCTATGCTTGGATCTCGTAGCAGACCCAGCCCTAGCCTAGATCACCTTCTGGAACAGGAGGACCCCCTCCACAGAGAGTCTGCCCCCTGCCCCGCCTCTGGGGGTGCTGGTACCGTAGTTTCCCGATGTAGCTGTCCCCTCCTCGAGACAAGTCTGTCGGGTCCACAGAGATGAGGTAATTAGAAGTTTTGCTCTTCTTTCTCTTCCTTCCCGCCAGGAGAAACACCTTGGGGAGGGACAAGTCATGTTCTAGACCCAGGGCCACCATCCCGGGTGCCACTCACACACCTGCACCTAATGAGTGATTCCCTCTTTTCAGCTCCCACATGCATATCCAAGGAGACTTCACAAAGTTTGGGGACAAAGTTTGGGGAACTGAAGTATGAGTTAAGATGGTTGAAAAAAAAAATTGAAATCCAAGCACAGGTTTTTCATAACATGCATTTTCCACAAACTTTCTGAAGACCCTCACATACATGCATGCACAGGTACACAGAGGCTTTTGGGTTTTTTTGGAGAACTGAGAGTACAGTGTCCAACTTGAGGCTCCCGGTCACACTCCAGCCCTAGGACCTCAGCCTGCCCGCTGGAAATGCATGCCCAGGCCAAGCGCACCTTCTTCCCATCCTCCCGGTCCAGGTGCAGGAAGTAAGTAGGGTACATGCCCCGGTCCATCCCTTTCTTGTCCCGCGTGATGCGGCATTTGATGGTGATGCCCTGGGGGGCTGGCCTCAGTGCAAACTCCTCCAGGTCCTGGACCTCGACGTCCACTGGCGGCTCCGGGGCTGTAGGGCTGGGGGCTGAGGCTGCCTCCTAGGGGACAGAGTAGGGGCCTGAGACCCTAAGCAGCCACAACTAGGGGTCTGGAATCCAAACCCGCTGTCTGACATGGGAGTGAGGACAGGGCAGGGCCCTGGGAGGTGGGGCTGGCCATCCTGGCTGGGGGTTAGAAGCCACCTTCCCAGCCCTCCCCTCTCAGTGGTCCAGTGGTCCCTGGAGTCAGACAAGGAGGCAGGCAGGTCCTGGGAGCCATGCTGTTCTTCTCCAGCTTCCCATGCCCCACCCTGGCCTGGCAGCAGAGATCAGGAGGCAGCTGGAAGGCAGAGGAGCCTGGCGTGCCCCACGCCTCTGCACACACTCCCTGCACCTCGCCTGGAGCAGCAATCCCCTAAGCACCTGCGTCCAGGGTTGCCCCGTGACAGCCCCTCACTCACCCTGACGGACTTCTTGCTCGTGGCCGAGCTAGGGCGGGTGTTGCTGTTGAGCTGGGAGGAGCTGGAGCTGTTCTCGTCCTCATCCTCCTCTTCCTCGTCGAAACTCATGCTGCTGGAGATGCCTGGGCCAGCCACAGGAGAGGGGTGAGGGAGGCAGAGCCCACCCCGGAACATCCATGTCACAGACACGCACTCTCACAGACAGACTCACCCGTGTCTGACACAGACACGCTCACATCCACACTGCCACACCTGGCCAGCTAGATACAAGGAAACACATCCTCTCAGGGGCTGTGAGCCGGGGCTAGGCACGGTCCTTGGGATACACCCTCACCTCCACCAGTTCAATCCCTGCCTCTGCCCTCCCCGCTTCTCCCTAACCTATTGTGTGTCCCTGTCAGGCCTGCAGCAGCCATGGCTGGCGGAGTCTTGGAGCCTGCCAGGGGACAGCCTCACATGTGGGGTCAGCTGACTAATCTCCCCGCAGCCCGCCCTGGGCCTCGGGGGCAGGAGGGTGAAAGGGCTGCCTGGAATCCCACCCCCACCCCACTCCCTAGCTGCCCCAATAGCCCCTTCCCCAGGAAGAGCCTCCCAGAGAGGTGCTGCCAGGCTTCCTCCCACTCCCCCCCCCTCCCCGCAGAGGGCTCCCTGGGGCGGGGCTCTTAGCGGCAAACCACGTGGGCAGCAGAATTCCAAAGCAGGTCTGCCCTGCCTGAGGGGCATCCCGGCCCTGCTCCCCAAGCTCAGCATCTGCCCTCCGAACCTGGCCTCCTTGAGGGCAGGAGACAGGGCTGGGCTGCAGCTTGGTTACCCCAATTCTCACTTCTTTTCCTTAACTTGGCCTCATATCGGGCCCCTGCCCCAAGGATCCTCATGTATCTCCATGTATGCCCCCACCCCCAGGAGGAGACCCAGGAAGGCCATGCTCTGGGAGAAAGTGCATCTGAGGATGTGGAGGACCATGGTCTGGGGGTGTTGCTGGGCCCCCGCGGGGCTCACCCTTCCTCTGCATCGTGGCACGGAGCTCCTGCCCGCTGGGCCGTGTGCCCCCACCAGCTGCCGAATCCCCCGCGTCCTGGGTGTGGTCTGACTGGCCCACGGTCAGGATCTGCACCGGGCCTCGGGCCTCAGGCTCATCTTCTGCCAGTGCTGCCGGCCCACTGGTGCCTGCGGGCCACGGACACTCCTGAGTTACATCCAGGAGCAGGAGCAGAGGGCCTGGTTGTCCGGACGTCCATGAAGGGGGCAAGGGAGGCGTAGGGAGACCCACCCCCCTGCAAAACCTTATTTGCAAAACAAATTTTTAAAAAATGGCTGCTGTCATCCTATTAGTAACTGGGAAACTGTGAAGAAATGTGGGCTTCATTTCCTCTGCTCTTCCCCAAATCAATGGCCCAGGGCTGAAAGGCTCCACGTCCCTCAGACAGACAGCAGCCATCTACAAAACTGACCACACGGCAAGTAAAGCAGGATGGGAAACAGCAGTCCAGACCACAGCCAAGGCCAGCACCGACTCAAGGACACGGCCAGCGATGAGCGAGCGGTCCTGCTTTCTCACACACACACACACACACACACACATACACACACACATACACACACACACTCACACACATACACACACACACACACTCACACACACACACACACACATACACACACACACTCACACATACACACACACACACACGGTACCTCAGCACTGACTCAAGGACACGGCCAGCGATGAGCGAGCGGTCCTGCTTTCTCTCACACACACACACACACACACACACACACACTCACACACATACACACACACACACACACGGTATCTCACGCACATCATTAAAACACATGAGATCCCTTGGAAGAGCCGAGGTGGACGCTTGCCTTCTCAAGTGGAGCGTCGCCCATCCCTTGTTAGCCTTCCTGCCCCGTTGCCACAGCTTCCATAATGGAAGTGGGCCCGGCCCCCAGAGGTGGCAGCACCTGCCTGGCTGAGCTATGCAAGTGCTACGGCCAGCTCCCGAGGCCCCTAGCCTTCCACACATAGCTGTCCAGCTGTGACGTGGTAGCTGCAACATCACTGCCCATGAACGAGGGCTGAGCTAATGGGGGCCAGAAAGCAGGACCAGGCAGGGGCCACTCTCACTCCTCAACCTCTAGAGATCTTTCCAGGAGAGATGAGCAGAGGGGACGGGCTAGTCCATGGGCCAGAAGGCACATCAGTGCTGATGACAACGTGCTGCCCAAGGATGGGGCAGGCTGCTGGGAGGCAGGAAGCCCCTAGAGAGGTCTCCTGGCCCAGGCTGGGTGAGACTCGAGGGGTCAGGATGGCAAGAACTCAGCCAAGGCAGGGTCAGAGGAGGAGTGGTCCTGGGCCACAGCCAAGCCAGCCCAGGCCCCACCTGAGATAGCCTGGGCCTATGATCTGGATGGTGGAGGCTCTGGCTGCCCGTCTGCTGTCACTGAGGCTGCTCACCCTCCCTCCAAGTCAGGATCAGCAGCCCCAAGGCCACAGTGGGCCAGGCCTGAGGGGAGGGCCAAGGGGAAGGCAAGCTGACCTTTGTGCTTTCCCTTCTTCTCCTTCTTAGAGGCCCCGCCCTGGCTCCCCGCTGCCGCTGCGGCCTTGGTTCTCTTGGCTGAGGCTGGTGCTGCGGGCTGGGCGGCTCCCAGCTGCACGCTGGCAAGTGAGTCGGCCTCTTGAACTGCTCAGGAGAGAATCGAGACAGAGAGAGAGAGAGATGTGGCTCTGAATGAGTCAGAGCACAGGTCACAGCCCAGCATCCCAAAACTGCTGGAGACCCACCCAGGCTCCCACGGCACATCCTGGGCCTGCAGAGTCATCTCGACAAGGACAGGCCCAGCTGGAGGGATGGTGGCAGTAATGGCTATCTGCTGTGATGGCAGTAATGGCCAGGCCACACTGGGATGTGCGGAGGTGCCAAGCAGTCGAGTGCCGGGCCGCAGACTGTTCTGAGCCCAGGTGAGGCATAAGCATCCGTGAGCATGGACATCACTGAAGGTGTGGAGGAAGACGTGAAGGCTGCATCTTCTGGAAAAGACCACAGCCAGGGCAAACACCCCAGAGAGCCTGCATAGGGCCCTCAGGACCTGAGCCCATGGGAGCCGAGGGACAGGGAACGCCCTGAGGAAGAGCAACTCTGGGATACGAGGGGCTCCACACAACAGTGACGTTCGGGAGGGTCATTGCTGTGGCCTCTGGATCTCCACACAGAACCCCAACCTGCTTATGTCCCTGGATGGCTTATGAGTGCTCTGAAGATGAAGGCCGACGTTCTCCTGCATGCCTGGCTTCTCTGTCTCCCTCCCTCCTAGCCTAACTGCATGTGCTATGTCTCCTGGGCCCCACCAGGGTCTCTCAGTGCCTTCCCCGCCCTGGAGTCCCTGTGCCACCAGCCCCTGTGCAGATATACCCACCGCCTGCCTTGGCCTCCCCGTTCATCGAATTCTAAGCCATCCCCAGATCTCAGTGCAGGCCTTGCTTCCCTCGGGAAGCAGCCTTGGCTCCTACTCGGAGCAAGTACTCCGTCATCCACGTAGTGCTGGCTTCCTTCCACAAAGCACACCATGACCTCTCCCCACCCAGACCACAAAAGCAGAGGCCCCATCTTTTGTGCTCCCCCAGGTCCCACAGCCTTGAGTCCAGAGCCTGAGTCAGAACACCCTCAGTAAATATTTAAGAAATGAATGGACGTGTGAGCACGGCATAGCCAGTAGGTCAAGAACTGCAGGGATAAATCACCAGTTTTGAAGTAAGTCAGACTCCCCCATCTTCCTCTGCCATGAACCCCCTGCACGTGACCCCTCAAGCCAGCAGAGGGCAGAGCAGAAGTGGCTGGGGGGGGGGGGGGGGGGGGGCCCGGGGGGCGCAGCACCACC